CTGGCCTGGGCCTGGCCGTGGGAGCCCGGGGGACTCCTCCAGCGCGAGCCCAACTTGAACGGGTGTTTTCTTCGCCTCTGCAGCGCGGCTGGGAGAGGCGAAGGTGGGGCGGAGGAACCTGTCTAAAAATAGAGGATTGTGAAACTCGTCTCGTGCGTGTCGTTGGGGGAAAAAAACTAATAAATGCCAGGCGGCCAGTCGCCCTTACGGCCATTAAAAGTAGCGTAGAAGGTTCCCATCCAAAGTTAAAACGCCAGTTCGTCGTCCAGGTGAGGCCTTTCCCCGAGTTCAGGGCATTCCTCAAAAATCTTATGTCACCCCGAAGACTTGTTGATCCGACTGTGCGTGAGTCATTTGACAAATGCAGCTTGGAAGACAGGGCCTCTTTAGCCTCTGATGGACTGAAAAATCAGAAACTTTAAAAGCAGTTGTGTAGCTCTTCTCTGAAAAGTGAGTATGTGGTTCTACGAGAGGCCTCCTCTTAATCATTTTCGGGGGAGTCGAGGTTGGAAAATGGAGCCCCAACGCCAGTGTGACCAGAGAGTTTAAGGGATCATCACCTACATACCCCAGCATTCTTGATGATGATATCCGCTCAGGAAGGAGGGGTCGGAAAACCTTACTGCAGGATCCAGGGGAACAGATTATTTACATTAAATGCAATTTGAGGGTGGGAGCTTGCTGTTGTTAATCCCTATTTGAGAGAAAACTGAGGTTTACGGAGAGAGACTCACCTAAGATCGTGCGAAGAGAGGATGATGCGAACCTAAACACATCTGTCAGCCTTGGACCTGTTGGAATTCTGAGTGTCTCTACCTCTTTTCTCTGGTTGACGTCCCTGTCCTTTTGCACTGCTAACCCAGCTGCAGGGAGGTATTAGATGCTGTTTGTCCCGGTGTTTTCCTTCCCATTTGGTCTCCCAATTAAGTAATTTTGGCAAACCGGTAAACAGCTGAGAGTCAGTCCAACTAAATAGACCGATCTGTGAAAAGCAGTATAACAATTAGTGTTTCAATTCATTGCCACCTCAATAAACACTGGACCACACCGATGCCCCGTTCCCCTTTAATCATAATGTTTTTCCTTGTTAGTGTCACCATCGAAGTTATTGAACAGTGTTTTGAATTTTGCATTTTGACTCCCCTCCTCCTGACGGTCAACCCCTTCCTAGGTTTCCCTGGAGCTGCCTCTGAAGTATATTGTAGACTGCTCATGTGTCTGTCCTTGATATCATTGGAGTCCCAGTGGATTTTGGACAGATGATGGTGTCCTTATCTAAGATGAGGAAACGTCGGGACAGAGCAGCTCTGGAGCCTGCCTCAAGCATTGCTTTGAGATTGGCACCCTTCAGGACAGCTGTTGAGTAGTCACTCATACATATGAATAGAGGCTCAGCCCAGGGCCAGACTGTCAGCCTCGAAGGTTATTGGTGTTAAAATCGCTGGGAGATGAGAAGTGATCTGGAAGTGAAGAGGGTTGAGCCCCGGTCATGGGAAGAGAGGAGCCAGTACGAGAGGCTAAGAAAGGAGACTGGTGAGACCAGAGTAACCCAGCGTCCCAGGCGCTGACCATGTGTTGGGCAGAGGAAGGCGGGCTTTCGCTGGCTCAGGACTGTGGGCAGCTCACCGAGATGAGCACTGGGAAATGGTCTGGCAAGATGGGTCTTTGTTGGTCAAGTTCACTAGAGCCGCTTCGATGGCGTTCTGGTTGGGGTGGATCACAGGAGAAAGAAGAGGAAGAACAGGGAATTTGAATTGCAGTTCTTTGCTGTCGGTTTACTGAGAAAGGGAGCAGAGGCGCAAACTGTGTGTGCGGTAGGTGTTGTGTGTTTAAGAGCTGAGCTACTACAGCATGTGGGTTTGTTGCGGGGAGTATCCAGGAGGGGAGTTTTGGTGATTCAGAGAAGAGGAACAGTGTGTTAAAGGGCAGAATCCTCAGCCGAGTGGTGAAAGGGTTAGGAGTGCCCGCAGGAGAAGGGGTTGGAGGAGCAGGGCAGATGCTGGACAGCTGGTGCAGGTAAAGGTCAGGGGAGGCAGTCACCCTCACGGCAGTCGTGGAGAACAGGCCACTGTCTTCATTTCACAGATTCTAAAGCTAGGATTCAGCCAGTGACGGGCTTAAATACTAAATGGCAATGTTACAGGTCACACTAGGTTCCCCATTCCAAGTTTTGGGCTATTGATTTTATACCAAAGTTTTCCATATATTCTTCTTCTTTTCTGAAATGGATTCAGACCTAATTCGTTGGATTTGGAACCTGGCCAGTTCACCTACTGTCCCTGGGCTCTGGGGCTTGTTCAGTTTATCTGAGTTTAAGGTACCTTGTTTCTAAGATGGATACACTAATAAGTGCCAAGCAGATGACTTATAAGAATCAGATTAAACAATATACATATGAGTGCTTTGTAAATGGAAAAGTCCTTTCTACACAAATGTAGATGATGATTCATGTGGTTGTAGCTCAGGCCAAATGGATTCGGAAACTTGCTAGGCAGAGCTATTTTGAAGTGTGTGGTGAGGACTGGAATTTAAGTTTTTCCTTGCTTATGTAACATGACAGAGTAACTAATGCTAAACGTCAGAGAGTATGGTGTTAAAGTCAGTATCTTTGTCTTTGTAGTAAGAGTGAGAATCGCATCTCTTTAAAAATGTGTGAACTTTGCATCGCGTGCAGTCTGTCAACAGACGGGGTGGAGGAGGTAGGATTAGGAGCTGGGGCAAAAGCTCATACAAGAGCATTCGGTCTAAACATTGCAGTCTTCTTCCTCCTCCTCAGTCTCGTTCTCCTTCTGCTCGACACTGGATACAAAGACTTTATCATACATCATAGTAAGAATCTAGTTAGGGCACAGACTGATTCTGTTGACCTGCATCTTAAACGGCTGCACGGTGGTGGGAATTTTGCTTAGAATGGCAATAGTACGAATAAACTACCACACATAAATTACTTCTCTCTGATGCCCATTCCATTGGGGAGCTTTTGGTTACTTTATGGATATTTCTTTTAAATACGCTGATTGTAACACATCGTGTTATCGCGGAGTGCATAGATGGTTATTCATGCCTTTCCATATTTGCAATGGTACTAAAAGGATGGAGTTTAGAAAACTAGTTTGTATCCTTCTTTTCTTTCGAAAATATTCCTTGACTTTCAGGTACAAATAAATGTTGCACATTTAATGACAATTTTCTTTGTAAAATTGATTTATCACCTTAACTCATTCAAAAATAAGCCTTGTCATTGCACCACTGGGTGTTACATTGGTAAAATACATTTTGAGTTCATTCTGAGTTTTTTTTTCCCTGATAGACATTGATCCATAACATTTCTCCTCTAAAGTCACTTGGTGAAGAGAAAAATTTTTTAAAAATTTAGCATTATACCTTAGGACAAATTTTTTTTTGTGTGTGCAAAGAAAGAAAGTAGAACGCCAGTAAATGTTGCTGATAATCATTATTTGAAAAAGGTACTTAGGATATTTTCAGGAGTTTGGATAGGTTGACAATTTTTGGGTTTCTTTATGGACATTCATTATTTTAAATTTCTTCTGGAAAATTTCCAGTGAAAATTTAATTGCCTCACCATGTAAATGGAGTTTCACTTTTTATTTTAGGATGGTGAATCCACTGAAGCAACTACTAAACCAAAGAGAAGTTTTTATGCTGCAAGAGATTTGTACAAATACCGACACCAGTACCCGGTAAGAGTATAGACTTTTTTTTTTTTTTTAATGTAAAATTTTTTCTTTCTGTTTTATGATGCAGTAAGAACACTTGTGAGAAGGGCCCTATGCCTTTTCTCTATTTCCATATACTGGAGGTTGACTTATGTTTTTCTTTTAGCAGAACTTCAAAGACATTCGATATCAAAATGATTTGAGCAATCTTCGTTTTTATAAGAACAAAATTCCATTTAAGCCAGATGGTGAGTAACCTGCTCCCTTGGTAAAAAGCAAACTTTAAAGAATACAAACACGTGTGTGTACTTTGTTTATTCCATGCTTAGTGGGTTCTTAGCGCCCTTGTTGGTTGATTGACTTGACTTTGCTACACCGTCTGATGTGTCCCCACAGCTGTGGGCTCTCGAGGTGTTCTGTCCTCCCGGTGAATCCTGGGGTGACTGCTGTTAATTAGCGATCCCTTCCTGCTGTCTGTATGTCACTGCTGTTCGGCTGTTATCTTAAAGGTGGTAGGCAAAACTTCTTCCGGAGATGAAAAGGTAAGAGCTTAGAGAACTGTAGAGTTTGATTATGGAGGACTGTGCTGAGTTCAGATTCAGCTTTCTCACGGGAAAGGTGAGCTTGCTGGGAGCCGGAGCTGAAAGGACTGACCTGCTGGGTCATCACGAGTGGGGCTGGGTCTAGCTTTCAGGTTGTGCTGCTCTTTCTGATGCACCTCGCCTGAAGTGTTGCTGTCTTCGGAGTCACCCCTCAGGTCAGTTTTCAGACTCATGGTCTCTGCCCGGCACTGCAGAGCAAACTGTCTCCTGCACAGTGCTGCGCTTGCCCTCCCAGGCTCTGTTCCAAACCCCTGGCGAGAAGAGGCAGCTGCTTTGGGAGTTTGACTGCAGAATTACATATTTCTCAGAGGCGCCACATGGCAGCCTTTTCTCTGTGAGTGACCAGAGGGTCCTGGTCTCTGCTCTTTGCTCTCAGTAGAAACGGAGCCAAATCCACAGCCCTGTGAGGTGGGGCCTGAGGGTCACGGATTGTAAGGCTCTCAGAAGGGCAAGAGCTTGCCTGCTTTGGTGAGCTAACGGGGAGGGAGAGCTCACGGCTGAAGTAAGGTGTGAGGAGGCGGCATCCCGGGATTGTGCACTGCACGAAGTACTGGCTGCTGCTGAGAACATTGCTAAAGTAGCCCAGCCTGCCTGTCCTGAACTTTCTGGTAAGCGAGGAGTCTGCTGTGCTTTAGAAGGAAATCCCCAAAACAGACTACACTGTTGTATTTACTGATGATAGGAAGGTGCTTTTTTTTTTTAACTGATAGAAAAATAGTAATTAAATTGCTAGTCTTTTTAGAACTTGGAGTAAGCAAAGCTTTTGAAGAAATGCAACAATTCATAAAACTCAGCTAAAACATTACCTTTAAGTACTAAAAATATTGAACATAAAGACAGTTTTAACTTTTGTTTGCAGTAACAAATTAATTTTTGATATAGTAATTTAAAGCACTGACGTCAAGCAGTATATTCATTTTTTGTAATCTTTGTTACAGAATTTATTTTGAAATCTTTTAAGATTTTAAAATTTTAAATTTGAAAGTCACATAAAATGTTACTCTGGTTGTATTTTATAAATTATGTCAACTACCACACTTCCCTTTCCAGTATATACACATTCACACACATACCCTCACATACTCACTTGCCAGTGAACATGGTGTGCAAAGGCATACTTTACTTATTAAGTAGGAGTAGAGGTGATTGGAGGGGAAAACAATATTAAAGACGCAAATGGTTCCAACATGCTATCAGAGCCAGCAGTATGATGCAAAACAACTATTACCAAACCTTTTGAGAGCAGTCCTCACGTAAAAACCGGTGCCTACTTTAGGAAACAAGGGTTAGATGTGAGTTTAGAGAAGTCCTTTGCTACTGATGGGCCAACTGTGAGGACCGTAGTCAACGTAAGAACCAGGACAGTGTTGTTATAGTGAGTTCTTCCAGGGAAACCACAGGATGTGATGAAAAGGAATTGCTTTCTGGCAGCAGAAAGACCTGGCTTGTACTCTTAGGTTTACTTCCTTCTAGTGTGTGACTTTCAGCATATTATACTTTCCTCACTTACTAAAATGGAGATATAACACTGGGGGAGTTTTCTGTAGGAGAGCAGATCGTAAAATATTCTAGGCTTTGCAGAACTGTTGTTCTCTGCCACCGCAACTACTCAACTCTCATCCTGTAGTAAAAAGCAGCCGTAGTCAATACATCCTTGGATGTGCATGGCAGTATTCCAATAAAACTTTATTTACAAAATAGCTAGCAGGCCCTCATTTGCTAACCTCTGCTTTACACTGCCCAATAAAACTTTCTGTGATTTGAGATAATGTTGTTTTTTCAATATGCAGCTTATTATCTGAGTATATGACATAGGGCATTTGTTTTTTAAAAGCATTCTTTTTTTTAATTTTTTTTTTTTTTTTTTTTTTTTTTTTTGGTACCAGGGATCAAACTAGGGACCTTGCTCTTGCAAAGCAGGCAGCGGAACCAATGAGCTAAATTCCAGCTAAAAGCATTATTCTTTTGTGCTATTTTTAAATTTTGAGAACTTTTAATATAAACTCAAATGATTTACATCTTAAAATGCTTTTATGATGTTTTGAATGTCTGGTTTATTTTCTCAATGTTTGCTGTTTAGGTGTTTACATTGAAGAAGTTCTAAATAAGTGGCGAGGAGATTACGAAAAGCTGGAGCACAACCACACCTACATTCAGTGGTCAGTTATGTACTCTTTACCTTGAACTGTATCCTGCTTCATCATGTTTGTTTTCCAAACAATGTTAATAGAAAGATTTATTTTTTTTAAAAAAATAGGCTGTTTCCCCTACGAGAGCAAGGCTTGAACTTTTACGCTAAAGAACTGACTACATATGAAATTGAGGTAATTGAAGCTTATTTCACTTTATATGAGGTTGAAGAATCCTTTTGTTATTTTATTGTGCCTGTAGCTACTGAGTTATTTCAAGGAACTTTATTTTTTCTTTTTTTATGTCCTTTATATTAGGAGTTCAAAAAGACAAAAGAAGCTATTAGAAGATTCCTCCTGGCTTATAAAATGATGCTGGAGTTTTTTGGAATAAAATTGATTGATAAAACAGGGAATGTTGCTCGGGCTGTTAACTGGCAGGAAAGATTTCAGCATCTAAATGAGTAAGTAAAGCCCCAGCAATGAACCAGTGCTGTTTTCTTGTGGGCAGAGATCTTCGTGGAACATAGGAACAGGCAGCAGTGGGGTTTAGGAAGTTGGACTTGGAAGCCAACCTGAGATGCGTTCTGTTCCTTGTTCTGTATTAAACAAAATGGCAACAGCCGAAGACCTGAATTCCAAACACAAACACAGCTCTTCTGCCTCAGGACTGTTTCTTCCTGAGCCCTCCCACTGGCAGCAGCTGTGGCTGCGCTTTCTTTCTGTCATGTCTCTCGGAACTTACGGAGTTTGCTTGTGTATAGTTCTTTGTATCCATGTGCCTAGGCTGCAGGCTTTTAGGGACGTGGTCTATTCCCAGCGTCTTTGCACTTGGTGCCTTAGAACAAATCCATGAATTAAGACTATGGCATAAAATCATTTTATACGAATGCAGTGTGACCATACTTTTTTATTCAAACAGACAAAAATTATAATTTATCTTCACTATTTATATAAAAAAACAAGCAATTCTGGTTAATCAGAAAATCCAAGAAGAAATATTTATCATAGCTCATTCGGATTTGTTTTGCTGTGTCCTTTTGCTTGGATATTTATAACTTTCATTAATACTCGTAACCAAGGTTTATTTTTTAAAAAATATTTTCTTCATACACAGCCTAGCTTTTTTTCCTTTTTAATTATAGGGTGACTTATGAGTGCTGGACCTTACAGCCTACAGTTTAAAGCAGTTTTTGGCACATTATCGTTACCTCTACTGGCCAAGTGCTAAGGGAAAAAAATAAATAAATAAAACTAACAACCAACTCCTGTTTGGCCAAAAATAATCACAGTTTTGGCATCAGTTACCTAAATCTTTTGTGTCTTTCTAGAACTTCCATCTTTTTACACTTTTAGTTTTAATCAGTGCTAGTAAAGTGGGAGGTTGTACTTGGACGTGGAAGGTGTCGGCAGAAAGCTTTATGATCTTGACTGGAAGACCCTGAACTCATGACTCAAGTGAATTGCGGTTTGTAAGAAGCCTTGAAGTGTGAGTGGATGTACACACGTCTGCCTACCCAGCAAAGCGGACTGTCTCACTGTCAGAGAAGCTCTGCCCAGGTGGCTGTTGACACAAAGCATAGTGAAAACAAGCCTTTGGAACAGGTCTAACAGTGCCTCTTTTTCTGTGTACTCACTTTTGTCATTTTAAAGATCCCCCCCTCTACACACACACACACACACACACACACACACACACACACACACACGTTATTTTTGGTTGGAATAACGATCTTGCCTAGTAAATTTTTTGAATGAATAAATGTGGAGCAGAAATATCATCTTCATCTTAAATCCTCCTTAGTTTTATCGTCACATTCTGGGATTTATAGCTAGAAACAAAGCCATTTCTGAAAACTTGAAGTGTCAGAAGAGGCAACCTGAACTGTCTGTCCATCCGGTTACCTTTCCTTCCACCACCCTTGCCCCCCTCGGCCTTTCCAGCTCTGGATCTGAGAATCTGTCGGAGAGCATGTTTCATCTCTGACTTAGTTGCCAAAAATTTTTATTGACTAGATTTGAACAAATTATGTAGGATGAGGTGAAAATGTCTATTCATTTTTCTTCACTTGGGTCCGTTTCTGACTTGTTCTTAAATGTCATTGCTTATCTGAGTTTTAATCTTTGTGGCATCTTGAATTTTTTAGTCAGGGAACTGAGTATATTTGTAGTAGGTAAGTAAAGGAATACTGAATCAAAGTGAAATGAAGTAATATGGATGATCCACGTGAGCATGCTAGAGGAAGCGAAATGTTTTCAGACAGGAAGTACAAGTGTACGGACTAACCATTAACATGTACTTCCAGCTTTAGTTGTCGTGGGCTTGTATTGCTGTCGTGCTTTTCCACTTCCGTTCTCCGACTCCTGCTTGTTCTGCTGGTTGTGTGCTCTCGCTTCCCCGACCTCGCACCCTGGCAGTGCCGTCACTGGTTTGGCTCTTGCCTCTGTGCGGAAGCCCGGATTCTCCCCTTCATCTGCTGTCCCACCCAAGACTGCCCAGAGTTTTAGGACATCCCTCTACCCCATTCACTGTGCGTTTCTCTGTGACGTTTACTTCAGATCATAGGGAAATACCCAGTCGGTTCCTCCTGCAGTTTCATTCTAGAATGCTGGTCGTCATTTTCTTCAAGCCGTCATTTTCTTCAAGCTGAGTGCGTGTTTCCCCCTCTTTTTGTATTAGTGCAGAAAGGATAAACGGATTAATGGGTTTCGTGTTGAGGTAATTGTGCATATAACTTACTTCATTTCCACCACCACCCCTCCAGGCTGTGTCCTTTTATACTGTTGTGTAAATATCTTTAACTGGAGAATGTGTGGATATGGACACGTGTAGGAAAAGTTTCACTTGCTGATTCATCCTAGATTGGTTACGTGAAATTGTGCTGGTGGCAAATATAGCATTTATTTTGTCACATGGCACCTATTATAACATTCCTCTGCCTTGTGTGCATCTTTTCTCTTAGATTTGTAAAGCAGATGTTACTTAAGAGTTTTGTCATTTTTTGGAACAATCTCCACGTGACTGTAACAGCCAAGTCAGTCCTGTTGTTAATTGCACATTGTCTTAATTTTATCCAAATTGTATTGGTTTAAAACACTTTTCTCTCCTCTATTAAAAATACAGATTCATAAAACTGAAACCTCTCTACTATGTTTTATCCTTTTGGCTTCAAAGCATTGAATCTTAAGAATTTTTTTTTTTGTAAACATTTAGAAGTATGTAGATGTAAGACATTGGATTTGTCTTTTCCAGTATCCTGAATAATTAAGATTTTTTTTGTTTTGTCCAGATTCTCTCATTAAAATATAAGATCATAGAACCATACCTCCTTCCACACTTCAAATAATGTATTGACATCTTTCTGTACCCTCCCCAAATAACTGTCTTCATATTCCTAAGTAAAAACTCTGCACAGTTTTAGAAGCTAGGGCAGGTATATGCAATACTCACAGAAGTTCAGTGTTTGAAATACAAAATGGGTTTTCAGGAAGTCAGAAGTAAGCCCAGGTTCTGGTTGTGTAGCAGTATTAGGTAAATAAATACTGGAGCTGTTGACAGTGCATGTGATTAATACAGTTAGCTGAGAACTCCTTTAGGGCTTGGCCAGGCAGGTGTAATAAAGCTGGGTTTGATCTGAATGAAGTTGGGGAAATAGACTGTAAATGTCAACAAAACAGATTTGGAAGACAGCCACATAATGGCCTTAGTTTTGATAGAGAGAGGAGAAATTGGTGTAATCTTGGAAAATCAAGGCCATAGGAAATAAGACATAATTCTGTAGTTAAGGTAAGGTGTTGAAACTTGGCAGAATGAAAGAAAAATTAAGTTGTGAAGTTAGGACAGGTACAAATATAGTCTCAATAACAAATCTTTAGGTAATAACTATGGAAATAATACTTTAAAATAGTACCTGATGTTTACTTTTATATTCTTTAAAGATGTATCATTTCATTTGATTCTTACAACAGTCCAGTAAGTTGTGGGCCATTTTTCCTGTTTTACAAATGAAGATTCTGAGACTTAGACATTATAATTTTGCCTAAGATACAGGGCCAGGGTGTGGCTACCTCCGAAGCCTATACTTTCACCTGTTACACAAATTGTAACTGTTACACCAAGTAAAAGGTGTGTGAACATTGTCTCTCTGGCCCTTTCAAAGTATCTTACTGCTCTGTTCACCCTTCTTGTGACGATGTGAGATGAATTTGTAAGTGCTCTGTAAGATCATCTGTCTTCAGTGAATTTAATAATAAAAGAAAAAGTTCAGCATCACTGAGGATAAATGTAGACCAAAATATTTTTCTCATATGAATTTAAAACGGAGAGTTTATGCGCTTTGAGTTAGACTGGCATTACCTGAAGGCATAGGGTTTAATACATTAATAGATTATGCTCTATTCATAGTGGTATCTGATAGGACTTATTAAAAGTCATTACAGTGCCTATTTCTTTGTCTTACATTTCCGTTAAAGATGTTACTCCAGTAATTTCTATCTTCTTACTTTCCACCGCACAATTTCCCCCTCATTTTATTCAATCTTCTCTTCCAGGTCTCAGCACAACTATCTAAGAATCACCCGTATTCTTAAGAGCCTCGGTGAGCTGGGATATGAAAGTTTTAAATCTCCTCTTGTAAAATTTATTCTTCATGAGGCTCTTGTGGAAAACACCATTCCCAACATTAAGCAGAGCGCGCTGGAGTATTTTGTTTATACCATCAGAGACAGGAGAGAAAGGAGAAAGCTCCTGCGGTTTGCCCAGAAACATTACAGGCCTTCCGAGAACTTCATCTGGGGGCCGCCGAGGAAGGAGCAGGCCGAGACGGGCAAGGGCCCGAAGCTGGCGGTCCCTCTCGGCTCCAGTCACAACGGGCAGACTTCTGTGCACAAAAAAGCCAAGGACTGCAAAAATTCCTCCACAGCTGTTCACTTAAATAGCAAAACAGCCGAAGAGAAGAAAGTGGCACCCAAAGAGCCTGGGGAAGAGACGGGGCGGCCCGGCCCAGAGCCCCGCACTGACCCCGCAAAGCCCACAAACCCCGAGGATAGAGGGGCTGACAGTGCAGGTTCGCGGCCGGAACACACAGGGAGTAACCTTGCAGAAAACAGTGAGAGCTCTTCTCCCTCTGAAAAAGAGGAAGAGGGTGAAAACCATGGCGAAGACGACAGAGAAGAGGCGCAGAGTACCAGCTGCCGTAAGGAGACTCCGTGACAGTGAACCCCCAGAAAGCCACAGCCCAGCTTAGGACAAGAGAGGGAAAAGCTAAGACTATCTGAAGGAACGGGGACAAGGTCACATTTCAGATGTGAGCCCTCTGATTGTGATTTCCATTGTTAACATTTTGTTGTTGTTTTATTTTGGATGACAGTCGGATATTTAATAATTGTTTCAAGATGAGAGCCAATAAATGAATGTTTTAGGATGTGAGTTCTCAAATTCTCTCAATGATGCTGCTTCTAGGTAATTTTCAAGAAGAAACCATGTAGTAGTTGGTTTATCTGATGTTTTGAGAGATTAATCTCCATGAAGAAAATCAATAGAATAATTTCATTACATCACTACACCTTTTCCCCTGATTTGTAGATTAATTTTTGAAGCTGAGAGAAAGAGTTTTGGTCTTCTCAAATATATTCAGAAAATAATTTGGATTCTTTGACTGCACCTCATTGTGCTTATTTTTAGTGTGATAAACAGAATGGATGTCCCTGGAAATCTCTGACCTACCCTGCTCACTTGGTGGCGCTGTCTCCCCCATTTGCCCCCCCCATCATCAGCCTCCATCTTTGATATCGACATCTAAATGGAGTAGAGGGACTTTTTACTGTATGATTTTAGAAATTTTTTTTGTTTAAAATAATAGTGTTTTCTCTATTAAGTGCTTGAAAACAAATTTTGGTGCAAGAGTTAAAAAAAATATTTTGCTTTCTGTGGCTATTCCATATAATTTTGGTGGTTGCTTCTAGATGTAGGTGACTGAAACATTAAAAACTGAGAAGGGGAATCATTCAAAAAAAATTTTTAAAGGCATGTCTCGTACTATCAATAGTAGTCCCTTAAATTACTAAAATATCCGTGTTCTGTGGAATTATGAATTTACTAATGTTGCTTTGTTCACAGTGTTTCTTCAAATATATATATAATGCAAGTTTACATCATCAAACTTTGAAATTGAGAACAGTTTGAAATTCCATGTACTCATTTCTAATGAGTACTTAATATGTTACATAGCATTGGTCATACTCAGTTTTATTTCCTACCACATTATTCCTAATTCATTGGAAATGAGAAAAATCAAACATTGTGATGAGAGCTGCAAAATTTACATACAAATATAGACAATGAATAGATAAGGCATTTTCACTTTATTTCATTTAGAACAGAATAGACCCGTTTTTTGATCTCTCAGGCTTTTAAGAAAAATTTTATTTACCTTAACCCCTTAAGAAATTTTTTGCCCATATTAGGTAATGAACTCAGGACACACACTGAGCTACATCCTCCCCCTCCCCCGCTTTTTTTTAAACAGTCTAAGTGGCTTGTTACCAGGTTGGAACTTGCAATCCTCCTGCCTCAGCCTCCCAGCACTCTCAGATTAGGGCATGTGCCACCATGCCTAGCAAGCATTTTTAAAATGACCTATTTTGTATCACATTATCATCTTTGGTTGCCTTTATCAACCCACACATTCACAGGGGATTTCTAAAAAAATAGTTAACACTGAGAGGCGAATTGGGGTTTTATTGCTTTGAAATGTATACAAAACCATCCCATTTGCTTAACCTTGGCTTTTTTATGTGAGTCAGTAGCAATCACATAGCATATACCATATTCCAATAAGTAGATATAGAACGCTTGATCATTTTTAGTTGTCATGATATGTCAATTTTTGCTTTATGCTATTTATACCGTTTGATTTAACAATCTAGGTTTGCATTTCAGTCTCTTACCTGTAAGAAACACATGGACCCTTTTAAGTGGTGCTCATCACCACGTCCCCCAGATCTCAGTGAGGTTTCCCAGGATTACGGGATGTCTGTATATTGTCCGATTGGGCTGGATTGTAATTCAGAATGTCTTACAAATTTCTCATATAGGACAGATGTTCAGACCACTTTCTGATCATTTAATATTACATACATATGATCCAATACTATTAATAAACAGTTACCAGACATAATTTCAACTACTTATAAATTGCTACATAGCACAGCCCTTGGAGGTAAAAGCCTTTCATTTAACAACTGAGCTTTTAGAACATTTTTTAGGGATTCTGTTAGGTCATACCATTTAACATGAAAATATTTTGTCTCAAGGGTAGAACTGCCCAGCTTCCATATAAAATAGTGGCCTTTTCCTTCATGATGTTTTAAAAATGCATATTCATATCTGTTACTGTGTTTCCTACATGTAATCTGTAAATAGAATTATTTAGTGGAGAACAAGGAAGGGGATGCCATTTCTTTTGCAGGTAGAAGTTTTTCTATTAAGAATACTTTGTACATTTAATAGTTTTTTAAATAAGATCTGTAGAATGTATTTATGTGTCTTAGATAAGAAACTGGCCTCCAGATTTAACTCCTATGTTTTATATTTTCAGAAACTACCACATGCTTGCCAAAATTTGCAGAGAACATGTTATAGAAAATGCAGTGAGCATGGCCAAATAGCTAGAAATATATTGAATATTTGCAAATATATAGTCTTCACTGTTGTTCTACAGGTTGCGAAGTTACTAAATATTGGCTATTGATAACATAATAACTTGCATATCATGGCAAATAGATATATTGTCTGATCGGTCTAATACATTTCTAGTGTTTTGTGCTTTCATAATCAAAGATCACATATGTGAAATTATTTTGACATAAGATATATTTCTGTATAGTAGAGGGGTTTCTAACATTGAGATTATTGTAACATTACACATTTTCAAGCTCAGTCTCAAGAAATGCAGAGTATTTGTGATGGAAATGAAGATCTATCTGCTCTCGCTGAATCAAGTCTAATTGTCAGTTAAAACTTCTGTTGTTTTGTTTAAGGTGAAACTTTTTTCCAGGTTCAAGGATAAGATAAAGCTACAACGCAGGAGTTCTTAGGGAAGTTCTAAGAGTTTTTGCTCAGTTGGAAAAGCATAATCATATAAAAATGCCATAAAACCTGTCATACTCGTTTTGTGTCTTATAGAAAATGAACTATTGGGCTTCTAGCTTTTAAACTTTAATCTGAGTGGGAGTATGACCTGGTGAAAAGGGGAAAACAGTACAGTGCTACATCTGAGTCTTACAAATTCATTTTGGGAAATAAACTTCATCAATTGTTCAAAAATTGTTTAGATTTATGGGTAGAGAATATTTGGTTAATTGTTTTACTATGAAATTTCCCAAGTTTATAAGTACAGTTACGACTGAGTACCATGCACTTAGTAACTAAGTCAAGCAATTTTTTAAAACTATAGTTGAGGCTCTCCTAAAAGTCTGTATTTTATAACCCAAGAAAAAAAGATGCTCTAGATTTTGCTTAATTATACCTCCAGGGCTTTAGTATCTGTTTGGGGTGAGTAGGAAATCCCTTGTCGCAAGGATGGTTTTGAAGATCTCTATTTTGTTTTTCGCTTAGAAAATACTCCTTTCCCTGTGGGGCCTATGTGTTACAAATAAGGTAGGATGGAATTAGAAATGCTAGCATCGTTTTAAGTGTGGGTGCAGTTGTAGAGAAACATGGCCTGAATCAGTATTGGACCTAGGAAGTTAGGCGCATGCGTCTGCTGACTACTTCTAGCTTTGAGTTCTGTGCTGCTTTTAAAGGAACAGATTTGTGTGAATTGTCTCTAGGGTGACAGTGAGTATTTCCCTGCCTCCTGCCTGTTCTGGTTACCAACCCACCCAGCAGATTGTGTTCAGGGACAGACTGTTTTATGAATAATTATATAGTTATGTGAGTGCCTGGAGGTGTCCAGTTGTGCCTTTATGAATGTAAGGGGTTTTCATTCAGAAGTTCACATTTGTACTCATTGTGAAAGCTTGTCGTAAGGAGCTTTGGGAACCATGGACATCAGTTATGTTGGTAACATTTACCTTGGTGCTTTATTATTTTGGAACAGTTGTAATTTGAGACAAGAGCACTGGTTCACGGAGACGTATACTCACCGCATTATCAGCAATGTGTTATATTTGACAAAGACAGGGCTTAGAGTAGGAAAGATTACCTTGTGTGGTTACATTGAGGCTTTTTCTTAGTTTTGGTATGCACTGTAATTTTCACTTTAAGCATTTTAGTCACTGAAAGTAATATTTATCTTTTACTTCTTGTTCTTTAATGCATATAGACGCAAAAGTGGTATGAGAAAAACTATTAAAATTTTAATTCTAGTAGATACTTGGAGCAATCTAAAATTAATTTGAGAAACTTTTATGCTGTAATCTCACTAGGACTATGAAAAGCCCTGTTCTTGCGTTTATCCTAGATTAGAGAAAGTGTTCCTTGTCTTCTACTTTTTTGTATTCTCTTGTGAAGTTTGTCTCAGCTACCTGTGGGGAAAACTTCGTTCTTTGCTTGTTTTCTTGAATTAAAGTTTTCATGTGGACAATCCAATAAAGTGCTTTGTATCACGGCCCAAACCTCTGTTGGAAGTAGAGGGCGGAGAGGGAAAAGTTGGTTGAGTGTGGGTGGGTGTCAGGGCCTACTCCGGACCTGGACCTACCCGCTCCTCTGGCACCATGTTGCTCAGCCTTCTGGGGCCGTGAGGATGCTGGGCCTAAGATCTCCCAGTTCTGGGGACAAAGGTCACCATGGACTCCACACACAATTTGAACAGCTGTCCATTTTCACAGAATATCTGCTGTCATTTACTTGCCACCATTTTGTAGTTGTTTAGAAAAGTATGAGCAATTGGGCATCTGCTATGTAAATTACCCGTCTATCTTTAAAGCTATCATGGAAACATTAAATTACCACCATCCCTAGAGTTCTTATGCAAAATTTGTTTTGGGCTGTTCTTTCATATGTATGTTTTAATAAAATGATTACAAGAAAAGGCGTTCATGTTCACTTGTTATGCTAAAAGATCTTTTTTGTTCTAGATCAGAGAACCTTATGGAAAGATAAATGACAGTGTGTATCCTTTTCATTCTTTTAAATTGGAAAGGAGTTTGTGGAACAGTTTGCATTAACTACAGAGATTTGTTTTTAATAAGCTTTGGACTGAGAAATGTTCCATGTTATGCACTCCTTGGTTAAATGAGCATTATTTTTTCAATGCTAACAGATTAGTTTCATGTGAAGAAAAAAAGGAGTAAAAAGATGAGACATAGTAGGAAGAAGTCACAGAAATAAAGACATAACCAACTTTAAGTCTGCCAAGCCGGAGTTCTTGGAAGCAAGTGAGAATTGGTCAGAGGGGCTCCTGGCCTCTGTGCTGTCTCTGTGGGTGCCTAGGGGCTCAGGGATTGCTGTGGAAACAGATCCCACTCGTGTTCTCACGGGCACCGTGAGTTCTGCCCCCTCCGCCTGGATACTGCTGTGGCGGGTGGAGCTCATCAAATGGCCTCTTCTGAGCTTAACCCCCGCGTTGGTGGTTGACTAAGAAGAGGTAAATTGACAGACTGGCTCGAGATAAGAGGACGAGTGATGGGAGAGCTAGGGGAGAAGCACCTGTCTCCTGCGCTCCCGAGTGGACAGCAATGTTGTGAGGATTTCCAACTAAGCACAAAGACTGCCTCCCTCTCCCTCCCTCCCCTACCTGGAGGGGTTATGGTTCCTGCAGAGATGTGTTCTTTGTGTTGCGGAAACTGCTGTCCCGTGGCCCCAGGCTGAGTCTGCTCTGTGTTTGGCTGTGGTGTGAAGGACAAGATGCTGTGAGTGTGTTGTGTGTGTGGTACGAGTTGTAACCAGCTTGGGATCTGTGTGGTCCTGTAAGGTGCTCAGTATATAAATCTGTAACTGTATGGCAGTAGGATGAAAAAAGTGTAAGCTGTTGCTTACTGCTGTTTTTCAAAATACTGCTTCTCAAATAATATATTTAGAGGTCCTTTAGAGTAGTTAGTTTTTAACAACTCTTGCCAAATATATATCCTGTAAAACTAATAACCATTTCATCTTAGGTAACATTTTAGCACTATACCTACATTACATTGTGATGATTTTGCATGATTAAAATATCCTTAAGAGCTAGAAAAATGACTTGCTGTTTTCCCATTAAACATAATTTTTTATTATTAATACATCAGATTTCCTGTTATCCCTAGAGGTACTTCCTATTAGCCTCTACAGTATTTTATTGTGAAGGGTAAAATCTTATTTGCATGTGGTTATTTTTATCATGCGATTTTTGCAGATTGCCAGTGTAAATACTTGGGTGCCTATTTTGCTCTTTTTTTCCTGTTTTGTTCCAGTGTAGTTTTAAAAGTGTATTTCACACAGATTAATGACTAGGAACAGTTAGTGGAGATGACTTTTTTTCCGCTTAAGCAGGGGAGTGTTTTTATGAAGTAAAATTTTTTTTATTAAGAAAAATGCAGTTGTGAGATCAAAGTGAAGAGGTAGCTCTAGGAATCACAGGACAGAGTGGATAAAAATGAGCAACAGCAGAACAGTTGAGCTTGGCTGTGTTGACCTCTCTAGGCAGGAAAAGGGAGGTTGAGAGAGCCAAGGATAAATTGCGCCAGGGGAATGAACACAGTGTGCCTGATTTGAGAAGCTGATAAGAGAAGGAGAAAGGACAACAGGCGCGGCGGTGATCGAGCATGACTGTAATGTGGCCTTTTGGATGAATGGTTTAATAGAGAGAGGAATGCAAACAAGCAATTATTGTCATAGGGGAAGAAGGGACATGTTCTGCTAATGGAAAACTGAAGGGGTTTCTTTTCCACACAGACAAATCTGAAGGCAGTGTAAAATCGAGAGAAAATGGAGACTCAGGATAATGAGAAATGCAGCCTGCATTTCTACAAAAATATAAAATTTAATAAGGGAGAAATTTTGGAGAAAAGATCGACAACATTTTTCTCATTTTAAGCCTCTGGTGGAGGCAAAGCAGGTGAGCTGGTGTGTCTGGAGTGGGAGGAAATTCTGGCCTGGACAAAAATGATGACGGGCAGTTTGGTTCTTCTGGTGATTACAAGCTTCAATAGTAGTGACTGGAGAGTCAGACTAATGGGGCATCTAAAGATTATCTCGCCCTTGGGATTATCCCATGAATATGTAGGATTAATTGGAACAGCATTTTAAAATGGGTAACTAATGAGACAGATTACGGACCAGCATGGATTCAACTTAACTACTCGGGAAGGCTCGATTTATTAATTTCACTGCAATGGTTTGCATTTTTCTATTTTTTATAACTATCACATATTCAACACTATTAAGAAACACAAATATTTTGTACTATGGTGGCATACGGTGTTTTTGTTGTGAGTGAAACAGCTGATTTCATCTATTTTCAGCCTTGGAGAAAGAAGCAGGTAGTCAGCAGAGGCCTTATGGTGGACAGAGGAGCCATAGGAGATCTGGCAGCTGCCCTTGGAAGACCTGGGTTGTGTGATAATCTTTGAACGGGCGATTTCACTGTTGTGGGGAGAAGTTCAAGGAAAATTCCCGAATAGGGTGGGGGATAAAGGCAGAGAAATATTTTGTTTAACGGGGACAGAGCAGGATTTGAAGGGGGATGGACTTCGGTACATGCGGCAAGGCCATCACTTATAATTGGCTAGGTGGCGTTGGGAAAGCCATGCAAACTCTCCTCGGTAGGAGAGGAGGTATCTATTTGTGAGTTCCTTGGAAGGATTAGAGGGTGAAACGCTGAGGGCATCTTCCTGACATTTATGGTAGATGCTGGTATTTTAGGAAAAGGCAAAATGCATGGTCACAAAACAGGAATTGGAGCGCATTCATGTCCGTGGGATCAGTATCTGATGCAATCCATGTTAATCGGGTTTATGGGTCCATACGTCATAAATTCTGCTTCCTATTAAAAGCTTTCAGGTATAGAATTGGTGGTTTACTTAGACATGTTGATATTTACAGAAGTCTTTCCACTGTGAATGTAATGTACAGAGCAGCTCTTCCGGAATAATTTCTTGGAGAGATTCCTTCACCAGGAAAAGGGCTGGAATAAGAGGTGAAAATGAAACCTTCCAGGCAAAGGCGGCCTTCTTCATTTATTTTAGGACACTGTCAGTTTGATTCTTATTGAAAGCAGGAGGTTTTAATTTCTAAGCCTCTAAAGTTTTGCTTCATATCTTAGTGGGCAGCCACTTAAAAATGAACTTGTATTTAATAATGTGTATATAATTAATTCTGCTAATGTGGTGGCCCTAGTTGCCATTGTTCCTTTATAATCAGACCCACAAGGACAAATAATCTTGTGCTAAGTAAGTATTCATCTTTTGGAATTCCAAATTGTAGATATCTTCTTACTTTGACATTCAAATAGCATCACTGGAGGTCTTGGGTTTTGTCTTGGGCACCCCTTTATCCCAAATACTATACATGTGCTACCAAGAAGACATGAAATAAATTCTCACTGACTTGAATAGAAATTTAACATACTCAGTTCTTTGGAGAAACAAACCTGTGCATTAATTTCAAACATTCCCCCTAATTTTATCTGTTTCAATGTCCAGAAATAGGAAGAGAAATTACAAATTTTTATAGTTGGCAGTTCGGATCCTAGTTTTACAGAAAAGAAGCAGAGATGTGACAGGTGTCATGACTGCCCTGCCCCAAACACTGCAGATGCAAGAGGCTCCAAAGCGAACCCAGCACTGGGGCTCCCTATTTGGTGTAATATGCATGGTCCCGTTTACCTTGAATTGCACTCTTTCTTAATCCATAATCAGATGCACTCCAGAGCGTCAGCCCAGGCAGTGACGGACAAGAACTGCCATAGCAATCCAAGTCCAGAGTCTTGTTTGTGGAAGAAATTTTCTCAGCAGCTGATGCTTTTGACACCTAGCTAGTGCTTATGAATCCTTTCTGGAAAGGATTCCAATGTTTCCATTTGGGGAACAAACCAGTGAGCTTCTGAAGATGGTCTTGGAAGACCACCATCTCTGACAGCAGAGATGTAGTAGCGTTTTAGGTCTCACCTGGGATGACGTGGAGCCCCTGCACCGCTCCGACCCTGATGTTTCTTAGTCTCGTCGAATGGCATTGCCCTATCCCCGATTGGGAGCCTACTTCCTGACTTCCTATTCATCACTGCATCCACTCTGATAACAAATTCTGTTTATGCTGCCCCTTGGATTTGTTTGCAACCCATCTTCACTGCTTTCGTCTATTTGTCTCTTACAGAAGACTCCAGTCTTCTCTCTACCGCCAAGGCAGAATGGACCCTGCACAAAATGCTACAGTATATCTTTGAGTGCTTTAGCATAGGGCCCACAATAAACACTCAGTAACACTTATGGAATGTTTAAAAAAGATATTTAACAAGAATACCTGGAAACGTATATATGTATAGATAGCCATTTCTAATCCACTCCTGAAAAAAGATGTCTTTTTCAAGACAAAGAGCCTTAAAATGAATTATTTGTATGACAGGACAAAGACTTGCATTGAAACATCCCATAAATATTTAATGTTTTGTTTTACAAATGTATGGTTTCTTGAGTTACTTAGCAACAAGTGTTGTTAGGCAGTTTAAACTAATGTAATAGCAGCTTGAAATTCAAGGTTTAAAAGGGGGAAAGGAAGTACATGGCCCCTCTTTTGCTGCTTTGCTTACAATTTTTATTTTATTTTATTTATTTTTGGGTTGTGATGGGGATTGTACCCACATCCTCATGTGTGCCAGGCAGGTTTTCGGTGGAGTTACAGTATCAGCCCTGGCTTGAAAGTTTAGCTAAAGTGAAGTAATTTAAAAATCATACTGAGTGAGTCAGTGAAGTACCTGTTTCAGAGCCTGGCAGAGTTATATGCATGGAAATAAACAAATGTGAGTGCGAGACAGAAGTTTCTATAAGAAAACCATCTGGAACATTTGGCAGAATAAAAGCAATTCCCCTGGCAGTTCACAGCAAAGCTGGCTTTTTCCTTCTGTTTTTACAATTTAGACAGAAATTTTGATTGACAGCGAAAGCCACACTCAAAGGAATAGTTTTTCCTCTTAATGTTCAATTTTCAGATTGTATTGCTTTTTTGATTTGAGCTTTTCTTTTTTCTGCATGTTGACAACTAAACTGAAACTAAAAAATCTCTCTTACTTTAAAGATTCCTTAAATAGAATCCCTGTGGAAGTTTTAGTGGACGGAAATAGATGGTGACTCAAATGGTTTTTTTTTTTCTTCATTCATTAAGTCTTTTGGTCCATTTTAGGCATACGGTATGATGACATTCATCACTGGGAATCTGTACCTTTCCATGATGTAGCTTGGTTCTTATTTTTTCTTCATTTCCACGCTCTTCCTTCAACACCCCACCCCTCCCTATTTATAAAGACTTTGTTTCCGTTTTTTCCAGTTCTCATTTTTTTTTTCCTTTCCCTTTTTTCTTTCCCCCTACCTCTCCCACTTCCCCTTCCCCTTTGGTCGTTTTCTTCCTATTTCACATTATCTATTATACATTTTGGTTCTCAATTATATTTTCAGTTTCTCACACCAGAGAAACTATTGATATTTTCACGTGTGTCCTATTTATTTTACTTAGGAGTCTGGCCTCAATGTGGATCAATTTAGCTATAATGTCTAGTTTCTCGTTCTTTTTGGCTCTTATTTTTTTAAAAATCTTCTTTATTCAGTCACCAGTTGATGGGCATTTAGGCTGTTTCCAAGATTTAGCTATTAAAAATTGTGCCAGTATAAACATGAGTGTGCATATGTTGCTGTGGTATGATGCTTTTAATTTCAGGCAAAGATCTACTAGAATATATAAAGAACTAAAAAAAAAAAAAAAAATCAGATCTCCCAAATTTAAAGACCCAATCCAAAAATGGGCATCTGAAATGAACAGACATTTCTCAAAGTAGTAGAAATAGCAAATAAACACGAAAAAATGTTCAACATCACTGGTCATCTAAGATATACAAATGAAAACAACATTGAAATTCCACCTCCAGAAAGAATGGCTGCTATCAAGAAATCAACCCATAACAAATGTTGGCAGGGCTGTGGGGAGAAAGGAGCATTTCTCCACTGTTGGTGGGAGCATAGACCAGTGCAGCCACTGTGGAAATGCCTTGAATGGTTTTAACCTTCTTCATAAACAACCCTAAGAAAGATGAGTGTTTTTGTAGGCTTCGAAAGCAATTGAGCTTAGCTTTGTCAAAAGGATTAGTTCTCCTTTTGTTTGTCCTTTAGTTTATGATAAATTATAACAGTATAGTGAAACAACAAAAGTACACCAGGTATGTAAGCAATATAGCTTCTGTTATTTCATAGCTCATCTGATCTTCATGAGCCCCATTTTTAATAATTTTCAGGATGGCCTAGACTTGATGCTAGGGATATTTCAATTACTTCATGTTTACATGTCTCCTTTCCATTTAAACATTCAGTCTCCAAATTTGGCATCGGAGCCAATACAGAGGCCTCTTTGGAGTAATCCTGTTTCTTTCACTAAATTATTCGTTATCTGAAGTTTGCTCTCCCCTTTGCTGACCCAAGATGGCTTGAGGTCTAGAGGAAGTTTTGTCGAATATTTGTGACAGCAGAGAAGAGGTGAGGAGATGTCCGTGGTGTCTTGGTATAGTCTCAGGCGGAGATGGTGGAGTGACGGGGTGAGGCTGCTCCCGGGATGGGTAACTCCCAGTGTTCAGTGGGCTCTTTGGACCATTTGAGTTTCAACCCCGTGGCGGAGCCGTGGTGGCGCCGATAGCCTTCGGTGCGGGGCTTGCTCCCGATAGCAGCCGCATCGTGTAGACTCCTAGTCCTGCAGAGCCTCGGACAGTGCGGGAGCCATCTGACGATGCAGGAGGATTTGGCTCTGAAGGTTTGTCTCATCTCTGTTTTCATTTCCTTCCTTTCTTCCCTCCCTCCCTCCCTTCCTTTTAGATGTGGCACGAAATGCGGACATTCCTTGTGTGGCGTAGGTACATGTGTACAACACAGCTTAAGTCCTTTCTCATCCCCTTTCCTTCCCCTCCCTTCCCCTGCCTCCATCTGTCCCCCGATCCTCTTCCACGTGAGGAAGATCTGTCTCCCTCCAGGTTCACCTTCTTGACCTGGTTGTATGACCTGGCACTCAGTTCAGCTTGTTTCTTTGTAAAGTGGGGATAACAACACTCACTTTGCAGAGGCTCGAAGATTGTAGAATTGCAGTGTTTATTTCCAATGCAAACCGCTTAACATAACTACTATTATTGCTAATATTTCTTAATATTTGGATATGTGAGTGTCTTTTTAAAAGCCAAAATCCAAAAGAGGAAGGAAGGATGAAAGGATAGAAAGAAAAAACACTGAACCCAAGTCTCTACACAATAAATCACTATCTCTTTGATCTTTGTTTTAAGTTTGTTTTCTGGTTAGATAACACCAAGTCCTTCTTTATATAATTTGAGTGATATGAGAAAAATTGAGATCACAAGTAGAAAAAGCATTGTATTATATTATATATTTTATTATATATAGAATTATCTCAGCACTCAGCTAATCTACTTTTTAAATTAAGGAAACCATATGAAAGACCCATCAGGGCATTTGCTGAGAGAAATAATATTTAATTAAATATTTAATGCTTCAGAAAGTTAGTCTCCTCTTTATCATCACTGTTTTTTGTGTGGAAAGCAAAAAGTTCAGTGAGGTAGTTAGAATTCCCAAAAGCACTTTTAAGAGAAATCTGTCCATCTAGGTAAAACTCTGCTGATAAAACATTTTTACCTATTTTCAATCTTTAAGCTCCTGCAATCTCTGTAATTGCACAAGTGCTATTGCTGATTCAAACTAAAATATGAGAGTTCTGCTAAAAGAAATATGCAGCCCGAGGAAAACATTTTAAAAGTACACATTAACATGACAAATCAGATAATTTCAAAGTGGTAACTATATGTAGCTTTGCAGACAGGATAAACCATGAAAGATCAGCTTTCAACCTTAAAGACCTAATTATCTTGGTAAGTAGCTTCATAATTGACACCAGTGAGAACTGTTCACTTTCACAGTCTCAGTTGTATGTGTATATGTTGAAACCCTTTCAAGTCAGGGTCGAGTGAGATTTCATGTACAGATTGTTTTTTCCTAGTATATCAAGAAATTATCCTCTATTTGGAAATGTTTCAAACTGGGATATACTCCTCCCCCAACACCCCTCTTCTACGACCTGCAATTTGAAGAGATTGTTATTCTGAGATTTAAGTTGACAAAACCAACATGTAATCAGTTAGATTACTTCCTATAATAGTTAACTTCTAAGACAGCTGTCTAAAATACATACTGGTAAATTTAGAAAAATATGTGTATGATCTATACATTGAAAACTAAAAGAGATTATTAAAAGAAATTTAAAAGATAAATAAAAAGGAAAGATACCATATTTTGTTTTGTTTTTTGTTTTTGGTACCAGGGATCTAACTCTGGACCTTGCTCATCCAAGGCAGGCGGTGGCACCACTGAGCTAAATGCCCGGCCCAGATACCATATTTTGTAGACTAGAATACTCATTAAGACCCAAGTTTTTCCCAAAACTGATCAATATGTTTTAATAGACATTCATTCAAAGTCTCAGAGGACTTCTTTCTAGAAATCGGCAAGCTGATTCTAATAGACACACGGAAATATAAAGGACCCAGAGTTGCAAAGTAATTTTAAAAAATAAGTTTAGAGGACTTTTATTTCATGATTGTAAACTTTAGTAAAGGTACATAATCAAGGAACATGTACTTCTCACATGCAAATACATAATAGCTAGGAAGGACATGAGAATAAGCACATGATCATATTGTTTATTGTCAGAAGGACAATTAGAAACATGAGATGTTACAACAAACCTGCTAAAATAGCTTAAACAGAAAATAACTGACAATATCAAAGGTTGGAAAGACTAGAGCCACTGGAATGCATACACTTCTGCTGAGAATGTAAAATTATAACTATTTTAGAAAACAGTTCATCAGCTTAAACATATGGCTCCGGATCCTATATAAATATATGAAAACCTATACCCAAGAAAAATGAAAACCTATGTCTACAAAAACATCAGTATATGAATGTTCATGGCAGCTTTATAAATAACAGTTCCAAACAAAACAACTTGAATATCCATGAAGAGATGAATGGATAAACAAGTTGCGGAATATTCACACAACTGACTTATCGATAAAAACTACTTACATATGCAGAAAACTTGATAAATCTCAAAAACATTTTGAATAAAAGAATCAAAGCACAAAAGAATACCTGCTGAGTAATTACACTTATATGAAGTTCTAGATCTGGAAAATCAACCTATGGTGATAGAGGTGAGATCAGTAGTTACCTGAGAAGAGAATGGCATTGATTGCAATGAATTCTAAGGGAACTGGGGAGCTGGGGAGGGGAGTATTTTATAGTTTAACGTTATATGGTATATGCATCATCAAGCCTTATCAAACTGTTCACTTCACATATGTACATTTTATTGTATGTAAAATATAGTACAATAAAGGAGGAAGGACAGAAGGAGGAGGGGAGAGGGAGGGAGAGGTGTTTCCCAGGAAAATATTTGTTTCAAAAGCAGAGTCTAGAAATTTCCTTTAGCTTGGGCGAGTACAGAGGACCTAAGAGAGGAATGATTCCTTCCCAATGCCTCACTCTGAAGGAAGCTGCTCCTACATCCCTCCCAGAGTTTTAGTTTTCCTGCCTTTCTTCCAAAATAGTTTAAAATCCTCATAAACAACAAGATAAGCTTGGGACACATTTCTAGTGAGTTATTTTTCTGCCATATCCTTTTTTTTTTGGTATCGGGGATCGAACTTAGGACCTTGTGCTTGGGAGGCAGGCACGGTGCCACTGAGCTACATCCCTGGCCCTGCCATACCGATTTTGAATGTCATTTTTTTCTGGCTGTCATTTGAAGCGCTGTATTTTCTGCTTCATCTTTTCTTGGCTATGGCCTCTGTGAGCTAGTTGTTTGGATCGGATTTGGCGTAGGGAAAATACTCCCCTGAATTTGTTCCCTATCTGTAACTCTCCTTTTCTGACTCTCATAGCCTATAGCTGGTCTCCGACCTCCAGGGCATTCACGTGTGCCTGCGGCTGTGGGAAAAATACCCCCATAGCGTTCCCTATCGAGTCCCCCGCCTTCGCAGAAACTTTCAGTCATTTGCCTACTAAATAGGCATCAGCTGCCCTGGTGTTCTAGGTCGGCTTCCATCTTCTTTCCTAGCCAGCCTCCCACTCTCCTGTGCTGGTGATACTCCTGCTGCCGGTGACCTTCACGTGTCCTTTGCTCCTCCCGCCGGGTTCCTTCTTCAGTGCATCCGTGGTCTCCCGCTCCAGCTCAGCCTGCATGAGCCGGGTTCTCTCGCTCACCACCGATGGGATTCCGCTTTCCTCCGGGTCTCGCCCGTCGAGCGGCCTTGAGGGCAGGAAGGCAGGCGCACGATGAGGACAAGCGCTCCCACGGATCCGCCAGGTGCCTGTGGTTGGGGAGCAGAAGGGCGAGGCCCTCTACCTCCTCACTACTCTCTCAGGTGCGCTGTGCACCCCAGGTGCTGCGAAGAGTGCCCAGAGCATGGGAGTCACCTCTAGGAACAGGGTGAGGAGAGCACACTGCACAGACGCTTAAAGTGGAAAACGTGCTGCAGGGAGTTATCCTAACAGAAGGATCCACTTGGATGGCTGTGTAGCTTCTAATCCCAGATAGCAGTTGAGTAAATGCAGTGTGAAGTCCCTTTTGGAAATTGTGACTAGTCATTAGCTCTTTTTATACACAGGCCTTTCCCCCCACCTCTTTCAAACGAAGGCTTGCTGAGGATTCCAGGTATATTTTGTGCGTGGTCAACACTTCGTGTGGGGCTGGCTTACTTAAGTCACTGCGTAGTCCAGGGAAAACCCAGTGTGCCTTCGGGCAGGCTCCACACTCACTCCTGTCCTCCTACCGGATTGTACTCCCCTGGCCTCTCGACAGCAGTAGTAGGAATGCATTGTCCTGCTTGTAGCAAACCTAAGTTTCTTCCCTGGGCCAGCACGCGGCCTACACGAGGGAGCAGCCATTCGTGTGAGTGTGTGCGTGCTGCTTGACCTGATCCGGCCGAGGCGGAGGGACAGAACAAGCGCCTCAAGCAGGCGAGACTGGCAGCCGTCCCGCAGGATTAATTCAGCCGTCTTCCGTCTCGCTCTGGAGCGGCAGTGGCCAGGGATGCGGTGCCCAGGGCCCGGAACACCTGCGTGAAGACCGGGGCTGGGCCCGCTGTGGTCACAGGTGAGCACAGTGACCCACGCCGCTCCTAGGCGTGGCCCTGGGCGTCTCCTCCTTGTGGTTTTCTCGTCCCGGATGGAAGGTAAATGTGCCCCCGCCGCCCTGGAGCAGAGACAGGCGAACTTTCTGGGAAGGGCCGAGCAGGAAACGCTTTCAGCTCTGTGACCACGCAGCGGTCCCTGCCCCGTTGTGCGAAAACCGCTAGAGATGACACATACACCGGTGAGTCTGCTTGCATTTTAATAAAACGTTATTCACAAAAAGAGGCTGGATTTCACCCGGGTGCGGCAGCTTTCCAGGCCACCCCCCCAGTGAAGAGGCCCTAGAGGGGAGTGGGGACCCACAGGACCCCCTGGGGCAGACCTGTCCCCAGTCCAGCGCACTCACCTCGAGACAGAGAGGAAAGCGTCTCCTGCCGCCTCTGCGGCCGCGGGGGGCATTGTCACCCCACGCGCACTCAGCTTCACACTTGGGAGCAAGTAGCATTTGTCGGGCTCCAGCCATTTGGGACTGGCTCTGCACCGAGTCTTTCTCCAAGGGCTTCCTTCCCTTTCATCTAAGGAAGACAGATTATGTCTATTTGACCAGTGTCTTACACTTGCCCGAGACTGACACAAGTACCCCAGTATTTTCATAGCTCCTGCGCTGCCTTTGGAACAGACTAGCGTCTAGAGAGAACATGTGAAGGAAAAAAATCTGGGGTTCTTTGGGGCAATTTTCTTTTGTCTGTCCTCTATCCAAAGTCCTTTCTTCCTCCTCAGCTGCACCTTCTGAGTCCTGCTCTTGGAACTGCTCTTATCTGTAGATTAAAGTGATAGCTCAGAAAACTTTATGTCCACTCCCCCACTATTTGCTTTGTTTTGCTTTTCTAATCATTAATTACATGACATTTACAAAACAATTTGGACAATATAGGAAATGGATGCTGCAGTTCCCAAATACAATCGTGGCTTCTACTCCTGGTGGATTTTGTGTCTAGTTTTGCTTGTATTTGAGCACAAATTAAGGAAATTCTTCCAAATCCAAAGAGCTGAGATTTAGGAACTGTTAAATTATCACCAGTTTGGCCATTTTTATTTCTTCCTGAAGATCAAGGAGGGGTTGATGGAAGAAGTAATATTTTAGCTTTGTCTTAAAGTGTTCAAGGCATTTTTTGAAACACAGACAATAAAGAAAAATACCCTTTTTTAAAAACAGGATGGGCTGCGGGTTTAGCTCAGTGGTTCCGCCGCCTGCCTCATAAGTGCAAGGACCCGAGTTCGATCCCTGGTACCAAAAAAAAAAAAAAAAAAAAAAAAAAAAAGAGAGAGAGAAAGAAAATACAAAAAACAGGGAGCCACCAAATGTGCATGTATATGAATAATTTAACAGTTGACTGTGTTCTTGATGAATGTATTAAGCTGTGTTCCCATTTCCTTTATTATGCATTAGGGATAGTTGTTATATTTGTCTTTTACCCTTTCAGAAAATGGAATATATTAAGATAATCCATTTTCAAGTACTCGGAACTCTTCAGAGGAAAGGCACTGAAAGTCTGCACATAATTGATGGATCAGATTTTCGGTCATTCTATTTATTATTATTCTATTTGCTATAATAAGACATAATAATTCTTTTAGTCCTTTCCATGAAAAGTCTACAAGAGAAAAAATGCCACATATTTTTAATTAGTGCTTGTTTTATTATCTGACTTCTTTTTTCAAAGAAAAGCTATTGGAAGATTATACTTATTCTAGGTTAAATGCTAATGACATTAGTTTAATTCTTCTGAGGTTTTTTTTGTGTAGTTTTACTGTGATGTTTATGCTTCTCAGTGACATATAAAGTTAATATGAACTTCAATTACAGAGTTGGCTATCTCAAAATCATGCTAGACAATATTTAAATACTACTCTCTAATGACATTAAAACAAGACACTACTATATTCACAAAATAAACATTTCAGTTGCAGGCTTTTGCAAATGATTTGGTTTCTGATAAGATAATAGCAACATTTCATATATTTCTGCTTTTCATGTAAAATAAAAAAGGCATCTAAAAAGCAATGGAACAAAGATCAAGCATTCCTAAGTGATCCTTTAAATCAAATTCAACAGACACTGGGTCCACCTCACCCAGCTGCAAGGAGACCCAATTTTCGCTAGTATTGGGTTGCTGATTCTTTCAGAATCATAGCAATATTCAGAAAATTACATGGTGCAGGAAGGATCAGGGAAAAGGCCTCCAGTGCTGGATCATCATGGTGCTGGATGATGTATAAACTACAAGTCGGTCCTTTATCACAGTGCATGACCTTGCTCTGTAGCTCGGGGCCTCGGGGCCTGTTGCTAGGCTGAGGCTGCCCACATCCGGGATCTGTCCTCACTGGTGCACCTTGCAGGGACCCTGTGCACAGGGGTGCCCTTCATGTTCTGCCAGATTGTTTGATGGTGGGGAGAGAGGGCTCAGAGCCAACCTGTACCTCACTGGCCAGGCCCTGCACCCTGGCCCGGGCCCATTCATTTCTCCCAAACAAAGCACTGTCTAATCTAGTGCGCACAGACTGGTTACAACTGCCTGGAATTCGAGCTTTCTGTGCCTCTTCAGCTGGTACACAGCATGCAGAGGCCTCAGGCTCCATGTTATTTTGCTCCTTGCCTGGCCAAACTACCCACAGACAGGAATTACCAGGGCCTGGAGACCAGGTTGGAAGAGAAGATAGGAGGAAAGTAACATCTCACAATCCCCCAGCAATGCAGGTATTAATGGGAAGGACCCAATCACAGTGCCAGGATTTGGCCTTCCTTTACTGCTGAGGCACATCGTGACCTTGGACTTGACTGCTTTTCAGAATGTGTGGAATGCGGGAAGCGAACTGCAAAGGCAGCAGTTGGACACAAAGCATCAGAAAGGGGAGGAGATGAGCCCCAGCATAGAAGAGGGAGAAGGGAGAAGGGGTGGAGCTCGGGTGCCTGACATGGCACTGGGATGTTAGATAGAGCTGCTCTGCCAGGAAGCCCAGCAGTGTCGCATGCCTGTAATCCCAGCATGCTGAGAGGCTGGGGCAGGAAAATTGCAAGTTCAAGCCTGGGCAACTTAGTGATTCAGTGAGACTCTGTCTCAGAGTAAACTGATAGCAAGGGCTGGGGATGTAGCTCAGTGCAAAAGCCCTGGGGTCAACCTCCAGTACTGCAAAAACCAAAAAACAACAACAAAAAACAAACACTCCCCCCCAACCCACCTATCATGTCCTGTTGTGTATGGAGTGCTGGGATTTCACCGCTCCTAAGAGACTTCCAGGGAAGACCTACCTGGATTTTCCAGGACTTGTTTTGGGTGAGACTATTTTCTTCCATTGTGCAAGCCTGTCTTCCAGGTGGCCGAGGGCTCTGAGACACATGATCATCCTGGCCCATCACCAGGGGGTGTGCGGAGAGCTGCAGCTCTGTGGCACAGGGCAAGGAGTAGGTGGGAGACAAGCTGGTTCGTACTGAGGCGAGGGGCGAAGGATATGAGAACAGGAACATGGCAAGCATCACTTAGGATGTAGAGGAAGTGGAACGCGCATTGACGGATAGGGGCCGCAGGTTAGGATCCGCCCTTGGGAAACCGCTTGATAGCAGCTGCTATAGCAGAGAACAGGTGCAGCTGTGGCCTGGGATTTGGCCCCCAGGAGGATGTGTGCACCGTGGGGCATAAACTATCACAGCTGCAGACTGCCGGACAAGTAAACTGTGGCGCATCCAGGAATAGAATTCCACAGGGTGTTACCTGGAACCAGCCGCAGTTACACCACCCTGCAGCTGGTGCTCACGGAGGGTTTGTTCTCCACGGTCCCCCGGAAGGGTTCCGTGTATGAAGGGTTCCGATGTAGCCAGAGCATAGCAGTGGTTGGGATGTAGTTATCCTTGTGTGTGTGTGTGTGGGGATTCCTGAGAGGAGGTTTAAAGGGGGCTTCCGGGGCGCTGATGATGCTTTCTTTCTTTATCTGGATGACCTTTGCATGAGTGTTTGGTTAGTGACAATACAGCAAGCTGTAGGGTATCTCTTCCTGCATGCATAGCTCATGTCAATAAAACAAAGCAGAACCTAAAAGAAGTGTTTAAATAACACTGCCACTGCCTTTCTTTATGAAAATACTGAGTAGTAGTGGAATTGAATACTAAATGAGTATGTGTGTATCAAACGTTGTTCCTAAGAACTGAAGAATGCCCTTCGTGGAGGAACTTGGGGAATGGAATCATCTGTCCATGAGGGTACTGGCAACAGAGGTCACCTAACAGCTTTGTTTCTCCCACGGCAATGCAAAGATGAAAAGTGAAGAGAGGTCGCGGTGTGAGTAATAACAACAGTGCCTGGCACCCGGTAGAGCTGTGTGGCATTGTCTTCGATCGCACAGGTGTAACCATGTGGCTTGGCAGTGAGGGACATGGGAGTCAAGACAGCACGTCTGGGAAAGCTGATTGCTGTGCGTCTGCGTCAGAGGGCCTGCCCTGGGTGCTGTGTCCGCTTAAAAGGAGGCTGCGTTTAAGGGATCCAGATGAGCAGCTAATGTCGGCAGTGTTGGGGACTTGCTGTGCCAGGCCCTGTACTAAGCAGAGTGGTCGGGGGCGGGAGAGAGGGGAATAGGAGAAATTACCCGGACCCTAGTGCTCTGACAGGAAGCCTGGGGTGTGTCAATGTTGAATATCAAGGCCAATCCTAGAAATGTATTTTTTTTTAGTTGAATGATCTCATGAAAGGGTCTTTGTATCACTCCTCCTCGGTTTCTGACCTTTGAATTAGGTAGTATTGCATTTCAAAGCAGAGAAAATATCACAGAAAAGCTAAGCAATTGTCTCAGTGTCACACAGCTAATAATCCAGCAGTGCCACAGCCAGGATGAAAACCCAGAGAAACGAGGTCCAGGTGTGAACACAGGAACAATCGGACCATACTGTCTGTTCAGTGGGGGCTTGCTTATGTCTATGTGACCAGGACCAACCAGGCAGAGCGTGAGGGGAAGTCGTCCATGTCAACGTGGAAAGTCTGAATGTTAGAAGAATTCCAGCAGCAAACAATGTCTCAATCGGGGAGTCTTGGAGATCTTGGGCAAATGTTCTGCCAGAGATTCAGAATAGAATCCGCTTATGTAAATGTCTAAAAGTGTTTCTTATGAAGTGAAAAAGATTCCTTTCTAACCATCTTGGTACATAAATAATCATTTTATGCCATTGTAATTTATTTGAAGCTTTTTATCAGTATTCTGAGAAAACATACTTAAATTTGCCATGAATTCTTTTTTTGCCTTTTTCTAAGTATTCTTTTCCCCATCCACTAACACTGAAAATGTACTTCTTTCATATTAGTGAAATTTTATGTACCTGTTATGTGCCTTGCAGAAATATTCAAGTCCCATTACGAAAGAACCCAAGGCCAATTCATCGTCAGTTGCAAAGCAACTGACCCATTTAGTATCCACAACTACACACTTTTAACTTATGGTTTAACTTTTTTAATCCCTTTGTTTTGCTTCTGAGCTCCTTTTCTTCCCCCCAAGATCTGAATCTGCTGTGGTAGAAATCCCTGGGCACCAG